CGAATGACAAAATTAATGAACTGATGGATCATCTTGCTTCCAAGCGTCCCTCAAAGCTACTCCAACCCTTAACTCTGACAGATAACAAAATAAAAAAAGATAGCAGAGGATTCCTGACAAGTGAGAATCCCCCTCACTTCAAAATTCCCTCAAAATTCCACAAAAAAAAAAAGCTAAATGAAATGCACAAGGAATTAAATGCTTGGCCAAATCTGAGAAACTATTTTAGTTAATTATCATTAAGAAAGAAGAAAGGAACAAATATATGGAGGGAAAAGAAATCAAATTCAGAAATAGAATTCCAGATCTCATCACCCAACTCTTTATCTTATGAATGCAACTAAAGAGCGAATAAGAGCAGAGCTTTTTACCCTATGGCTATTGGCTATTGGCTATTGGCTAGGGCAGGAGCATTGCCCCGTGAGCAACCTCCAGAAACACCGTGAGCTCCAGAAACTAGCCGCAATTTCCCACTTTACAGTTGTATACAAAGAAACCCGGACACCTCGCCACAAATCATAAATCAAAACAAACCCACCCTCTTTAATAATAATAATAATAGAACTAATGAAAATGATTTGAAAACTTTGAATTTAAATGATAAAGATAAAATAAAGGGTAAACTGAATAGTACATAATTGACATTTTAGTGTAAAAATATAATTTTTCGTTAGAGTGAACAATATAGAGAGTTTTTCGTTAAAGTTCCCTTAATAATATACACATGAGAAAAATATGCTCGCAAGAATAAAAGTGAATCAAGCGAATTTATATAAAGTACATATTAATGAAATCTTCATTGTCAACCAAAAGATAATGAAAAACATATTGATGTACTAAAAAACATATATTGATGTAAAAATATATGTCAATTTTGAAAATGAAAAACTTATTAATCATTTCCAAATATATGTTTTTAGTATTTTTCATATATTATTATTTTTACCTATTTTTCAAATTTGTACCAATATTCTTGTTAATTTCAATTTGTACCCATAAATTTAAATTTTTATTTGTACCTTTTTTTCAAATTTGTACCAATATATTTTGAATTTCAGTTTGCACCCATAAATTTAAATTTTAATACCCATATTTATTTTGCTGAATATGTGTACTCATGCTAATTACATGTATTTGTGTTATGTTTTATAATATATCAATATTTATTTTTTAAATAAATTAATAATTTTGTGGGTACATTATTTTTTTTGCTAGAACTATGTGAAGAATAATATTACTCTATTATTAATTTTAAAGTAATTATTATATTGTAAAAATGTTATTTGAATTTGTTTAAATTTCATAATTCGTGGGATATTGAATGCACAAGTGCATGAGTAAAATCCCTCAAATGATGCTAGGGACCTCAATCAAACTATTTAAACAAACAAGATTTCATTCTAACAATTAGGTTAATTAGGGACTGGAACCAAAATGACCCTAAAATAACTATAGATTGTTACAAATAAAATAATAATAACCATGATAGTTAGAACTTTTGGATTGAAACTAGAAAAAAAGGAGATGAATGGCATACCTTATCTTCATTTGAAATATTAACCTTTCGTTATAACCAATAATATACAATCCCATAATCAATTCGATTATGATAAACCAAGTGTTGTGAATGACTCTGCATGACTCTGCAATACATACAACGCATGCATTAAACAAATGCTGCCCATATGAATGACTCTGCAATACACTTAGCGCATGCATTAAACAAATGCTGCCCACGCATGCATTAAACAAATGCTGCCCATACTCAGATGCAGATGCATTAAACAAATGCTGCCCACGCATGCATTAAACAAATGCTGCCCATACTCAGATGCAGAAACATTGATGCAGTGTATCCATGTGAAATATTCACTATACCTGTAAAGTTCTAATTAACTATACTTGTAAAGTTCTATATAAACAGAAAATGAAAAGAAGCTCAATAATCGAGCACAATTCTTTTATGGTATCATCCCTTTTCCAAGTCTTACGACATATTTCTCTTCCAAATACAATGTCTTCTTCCGCTGCCCTCACTAATGTTTCTGCATTTCTTCCTCTAAAACTTGATCGCCATAATTATCCCTTGTGGCGTGCCCAGTTTGTTCCCCTTCTTCGCAGTCGCAGTTTGATGCCATATGTTGATGGCACTTCTCAGTGCCCTTCTGCTCATCAACTGAATGATGATGGTCAACTCACTGACACCATCAATCCTCTCTTCGAACCTTGGATCCAAACTGACCAGATGGTTCTATCATGGCTGACTAGTTCTCTCTCTCCTCCTGTTATGCATGTTGTCGTCAAATGTGTTAGTGCTGCCGAGGCCTGGAAGGCTTTACAGGACCGATATGCACCTTCCTCCCACAATCGTGTTATTCAACTCCGCGGGGAACTTCTCAATCTCCGGCGTGGTGATCTCAGTATTGCCGATTATTTGGACAAACTCAACACCTTGGCTGATCAGTTAGCCTTATCTGGTTCTCCCATTGCTGACTCGGACTTAATTGCCACGATCATGAATAATGTTGGACCACTGTATGAGAACACAGTCGCCTCCATTCAAGCCCGAGAAAATCCTATTTCGTATGCTGCTTTGGAAGCACTGCTGCTCAGTGCTGAAGCTCGTCACCTTACCTTCAATTTGTCTGGAGACACTCCTGTCTTGACTGCTATGTTTGCTAATCGTGGACGTCGGCAGACTGCTCATGCAGGCTTTGCCCGTGGTGGAGGCCGTGGTGCTGTCCATCCTCGTAGTGGCAATCAGGCTCGCCCACTTGTTGCTGCTGCTCCTAATCCAGGACGTCCCCATGGCGGTATCCTTGGTGCAGGTCCCTCTTCGTCTGATCGTCCACCACTTCGCTGTCAGATTTGTCGTCGTAATGGTCACTCTGCCATTGACTGTTACAACCGTATGAATACTTCTTATGAAGGCCGTGTTCCAAGTGCTCGTCTCACAGCCCTTGCTGCACAGTCAACCCGTGTACCCCAGTCTGCATCTCATGCTCCCACAACATGGCTTCTGGACTCTGGAGCGAACACACATATTACTAATGATCCTGGACAACTTACAAATGCACAGGAGTACACAGGCATAGATCAAGTCGGTGGTGTTAATGGTGGTCAAGGTTTGCACATTTCCCACATAGGCACATCTTTTATTTACTCTCCTACTAGCTCCTATACTCTTAAAAATACTTTATATTGCCCTGATGCCTCTCAAAATATATTATCTATCAATCAATTCTCTTTCTGACAATGACTGTTTCTTTGTCCTTCATCCTAATTTCTTCCGTGTTCAGGATATCCGCTCGGGGAGGATCCTTTTATCAGGCCGGAGTAACACTGGTGTTTATCCTTATTCAAGTTTTAATTCCATTAAAAGACATGGACTGTTTTCGTGCATGGGAGTCAAGGTTGATGATCGTATTTGGCACTCTAGACTCGGTCATCCTTCGTTATTTATTTTAAAGCATTTAGCTTCCTCTAGCAAAGTGCCTCTTACTAGGCACCATTTTAATTCTGTCTGTCATTCATGCCCTCTGGGCAAAAGCAAGAAATTGCCATTTTCCCCATCAAATTCTATTTCTCATTTTCCTTTACAACTTATTCATTCTGATGTATGGACGTCCCCTACTTTGTCAATTTCTGGTTTTCGCTATTATGTGATTTTCATTGATGATTATTCACGATATACATGGTTTTATCCATTAAAACTAAAATCTGATGTGTTCTCAACATTTATTAAATTTCAAACTGAAATGGAGAATAAATTTCAAACAAAAATCCAAACTTTTCAAACGGATGGTGGAGGAGAATATATTAACAAAACTTTCAAATCTTATTTGGAAAAACATGGCATTCATCATCAATATACATGCCCTCACCATCCTGAACAAAACGGTATGGCAGAACGAAAACATCGTCATTTGGTTGAAACTGGTCTCACTCTTCTTGCTCATGCATCCATGCCACAAACCTATTGGGCTGAAGCTCTACATACTGCTAATTTTTTGATTAATCGACTGCCAACTAAAGTTTTGAAATTAACTTCTCCATACACAAAATTGTTTAATCGAGAACCATCTTATGATTTTTTTAAGGTTTTTGGGTGTGCTTGCTTTCCATACCTACGTCCATATGTCAAACAAATTGCATTTTCGTTCCAAGAAATGTGTTTTCTTAGGTTATTCTCAAAATCAATTAGGGTATAGATGTCTTGACCCATGCACAGGTCGTGTCTTCATGTCTAAACATGTTATTTTTGATGAAAATTGTTTTCCATTTCATGACAATCTCAGTGTTACTCCCGTCTCATCCTCTCTGCATGATAGCAATCCTGTTCCTCTTGGGACATCTGAACTCACTTTTCCATCCCCACAAAATTCGCCATCTCATCCTACTCTATCCCATACTTCCCTCACCCATTCCAACACTTTTTCAGACAATCACTTTCCATCACCCGTCTCTATCACCCACCCTTTGACTCCTACTTCTTCTCCCATCCAATCATCTTTACACTCATCCCGCTATACCATACTACTCCCTCCCATTTCGACAACCCCAATCACTATAGCCCCCCCAACCATTCATCCTATGGTTACACGTGCAAAAGCTGGCATTTCTAAACCTAACCCTAAGTATGCCCATACTTCCACCATCACTGCTATGTCTGAACCTACCTGCTACAGTCAAGCCAATAAATTTCAAGAATGGAGGACATCTATGGCTGATGAATTCAATGCCCTACAACGGGCGGGCACATGGTATTTGGTACCTTATAATCCTACCATGAATGTATTACCAAATAAATGGGTTTTTCGTATTAAACGAAAGTCTGATGGGTCGATTGACAGGTTTAAGGCTCGTCTTGTGGCCAATGGTTTTCATCAACAACCAGGTCTTGATTATGGAGAAACTTTCAGTCCAGTGGTGACACACTCAACCATCCGCCTTATTATTGCTATGGCTGTTCATTTTTTCATGGCCTATACGCCAACTGGATGTTCAAAAATGCATTTTTACATGGTTCAATATCTGATGAAGTTTACATGAAACAACCTATAGGTTTTGTTGATCCTCAATATCCCACATATGTCTGTAAATTGCGGCGCTCTCTGTATGGTCTTAAACAGGCCCCTAGGGCATGGTTCCAATGTTTTTCTAATCATCTGGAACACCTGGGTTTCGTGGCCTCCCAAGCAGATTCATCTCTCTTTGTGTATTGTCATGGTTTAATTCGTATTTACTTATTAATCTATGTAGATGACATCCTTATCACAGGCAACAACATTCAGTGTATAAACACCTTGATCAAGGACATGGGCTCGGTTTTTTCAATGAAAGATCTTGGTCCTCTCCATTATTTTTTGGGTATGGAGGTTCATCGCTCTAGTAATGGCATTCATCTCTCACAGTCTAAATATATTTCTGATTTGCTTCAACGTACAAACATGGTGGACTGTAAACCTGTCTCCACTCCTGCAGTCAGTGGCAAACGTCTCAGCTTATATGACGGCGAACCATTACAAGATATTACTAAGTTCCGGAGTGTAGTGGGTGCACTCCAATATCTCACTTTCACCCGTCCTGATATTGCCTTCTCTGTCAACCAGGTTTGCCAGTTCATGCATCAACCAACCACAACACACTGGATTGCTGTTAAAAGAATACTTCGCTATTTGAAGTCCACACCAGATCATGGCCTTGTGTATAAACCTGGACCTCTCACCCTCACTGCCTTTGCCGACTCTGATTATGCAGGAGATCCGGATGATCGCAAATCCACTGGCGGGTACTGTATATTTCTTGGTCCAAACCTTGTGTCCTGGAGTTCTAAGAAACAAAAAGGAGTGTCTCGCTCTAGCACAGAATCAGAATACAGACAACTTGCCATAACTGCAGCTACTATTTCTTGGTTTCGTAAGCTCTTCAAAGACCTGCATCTTCATCTATCTCCTCCAAAGGTGTGGTGTGATAATATTTCTGCAATCTCCCTTGCCTCAAACCCTGTCTTTCATGCCCGCACTCGCCATGTCGAAGTCGATTATCATTACATTCGGGAAAAGGTCGCACGCCAGGAATTACAAGTTGGTTATGTTGCTACGCAAGATCAACTTGCTGATTTCCTGACCAAAGGACTGTCCACTTATCGTTTCAATTATCTTCTTTCCAAGCTTCCCGTTCGCCGGCAACCGCTCAACTTGCGGGGGTGTGATAAACCAAGTGTTGTGAATGACTCTGCATGACTCTGCAATACATACAACGCATGCATTAAACAAATGCTGCCCATGTGAATGACTCTGCAATACACTCAACGCATGCATTAAACAAATGCTGCCCACGCATGCATTAAACAAATGCTGCCCATACTCAGATGCAGATGCATTAAACAAATGCTGCCCATACTCAGATGCAGAAACATTGATGCAGTGTATCCATGTGAAATATTCACTACCTGTAAAGTTCTAATTAACTATACTTGTAAAGTTCTATATAAACAGAAAATGAAAAGAAGCTCAATAATCGAGCACAATTCTTTTAGATTATACACCAATTCTACGTTAACTTCGATCCTTTCTTTTTGAGTGCATGGAAGACAAAGATAAAATGAATATTATTAAACAAAATTAGAGACGATTTTATACACTAAATAAAACAAATTAAATGAACGAAGAACCCATCACCATGTTAGAGGAGCACCAGGGGAAACAAAATTAAAGAGACTTTGTTCTACTGCCCATAGAATGCTATTTGAGTCAAGCCAAGATTTAATAAAACACCAAACGAAAATATATTACCCCTAAAATTTTATGAAGGACAACCAATATTAGATAGAGAAGTTCTCCACCAATTAAATATTCATATCTTTTCCATACGAGTGTGGAAGAAGACGGAGAAGTTCTTCGCTAGAACTGAGAATAGGATGGAAGAAACAAACAGACCAACAAGTAATAGAAATAAGACATGTAGAAAAGTAATCACAAAAGGCAATGTAATTGGACTTAGAAAGCATCCAACCTTTTGCCGTTTCGCAAATTCTTTTTTGGCTGCGTATATCAAGAGTGTTGAATTGAGATTTGTAAACCACAAGTAACTAATACTAGTAAACTGCCAAAGCAGAACATAGAGGAAGGAAGACTGTTTGGTTAAGCCACCCTCAGTTTGGTCATCATCAAGAACCACTTATATTGACTTCAAATTTTATAGATCAATATGAGGAGTTATATCAATCATAAGGATTATTTTAGTTAAAAAACTAAAAAAGAATAAAGAGTTGTTTTCTCCAAGGATAAAGAGTTATTTTCTCCAAAAGAAACATAAAGATTAATTTGATACTCTTTGTAACCAAAATTTCCTGCGACCGAAAAAATGTATGTAAACTACATGTCACACAGTTCACACCCTCAATGTTTGGGTTATTTTCAAAGCAAGCCATGAGATTTTAATTATTTTCACATTGCACCCTGAGATTTTTAAAGCATATCAATTTATACTTTTTTTTGCTTTCTCATAGATCATTTGGATCTTCATTAAATTGATTACATGTTGAGTGTGGTGCTCGTGATATGTAAGTCGCATTTGTACCACATTGAATAAAGAACTCCTCAATTTAATGGAGAATTAGCTGTTCAATCAGACAAAAGATGTCAAAACCAACCAACCTCCTTCTAACTGAGCGTCGACTGCATCAGCATCACTTTACAATGTTTAGTATTATATCAGAACCGGTGGCAATCTCTACTAAACTTCAGAAAGTAAATCAATTAAAAATTCTAGCACCAATCAAACTTTGTCTTCCATGTAGCACACCGCCGGCACTTCCTTCTAGCACCAATCTAAAGCCTGCACAATTAGAATCTTTAGTTAAACTATTACTGCCAACCTGGAATTACAATTATTTTTTACCACGTAGAATTCTTTTGGATTCAGTAGAATGGAAATATTCTTCCAAAATGATGGAATTACCACGATTAAATTTATGACCTCCAAATTCCAAGAATTTTTCAATTGGATTTCTAAGTTCCTTTACTTATGAATCTGAACACAAGAATTAGTGTATGCTAATTTAAAAATTTAAATATTTCTCCAAATTTTATAGTTTATTTTCCTCATCCAAACACCAAGTTAAGAAAATTTCACAAAAGATATAAAAAGGTCGGATGATTGGACAAGAATTAAAATTAGCTACAAAGAGACCAACCAAATATCAAATATTCGAGATACTTCTTGGAGGGGCCAGCATGGTGGGCTTGTAGCTGGCATTCAAAACTTCGCAAAATTTATAGACTGATACTTGGTTTTGATAACAAAGCTTACAGAGGTTTAGAGAGAGAAGGTAGAGAGAGAAGGTAGAGAGGGAAAACTGATATTTTCAATATTTCACTATGTGTCATAGAATTATTACAACATTTGTTTATATATAAATTCATCCTCACATAACTAACTCATCTAATACACATGTGACACATGGCACACATCTAATACATAACACTTGGCATAATCCTAAGCTAACCTTTATAGTCTAACAGGTTTCACAATGCCCTGCAGCTTCCACCCCCCAAGTCCTGCCAAAGTAAATGCCTGTAACAACAATGCAGGATTAATAAACAGTGAAGTAGAAAATCCCTACCTTATGTTTGGATGAGGGGCTTTCAAGGTACCAGGAATTAAGAGACTCAATTATTAAAAATGCACTACAAGGACCTTACAGATTAACGACTCAAACACTACAAAATACTACTACCAAAACACTAGAAATACACTACAAAGACACCAAACAAAGGTTTTTCAAGGTGCCATTTCAAAGTTCTATCAATTGAATTGCATCTGGTCATTTTCAAGTCCCTCTATTTAATTTTTGAATTGATTCCTAATAAATTTATCCTAAGTTCGATAAAAATTTAAAGTCCATTGTCCAAACGTAGTCTTAATGATTTTGCCCCAGATCGTATGACCAAAGCAGTCACAGGAAACTCCATTTTCTTCTTAATCTAGTAACATCAACTCTAAATTCGTTTACATCTAGTGTGAATAGCACAGCTGATCAGAAAGCAGAAAAGACAGAAAGGATGTTACACGAACCAATGTAATCTCTCCTCAACCTTTCCTTCTATGATTTTTGCATAACTTACAAGTCACAGAAATGATGTTATAGACTTATGCATCCATAATTAAGTGTCAAATCTTAGGGAGGCTCTCAAAAGCCTGTCTGCTAATGTTAGGAATGGTGTGCCAACTGAATGGGTTATGTTCCAAAGGGACAAGTGCCATTTTGTTGAATTTTTTTAGCCAGTACTTCATGGCAGTTGTTTATGAGCCTAATGCGATAAGATGCTGCAAATGTCAACAGTGTTCTCCTTTATAATAAGTATCAATTAAACTCCAAATAAAAACCACTTTGAAGAAACCTATAGTTTTGGTCATCCATGTGTATTGCAATGCCAAAACATTGATCCAAAGATTGTTTAATATGTGTATATCACACATAAACGACCAGATGCAAGTTGATTATAGAAAATAAAAGATTAATGAAAGGAAAAATGGTTAACCTCATCCCAAGATTTCCCAGTAGTTTCAAGCAAAGCAGCATTGCAAGTCTTGAGTTCTATGGAGGCACCAGTGAACATTGAGGCTGCCTCCTCCCAACCCCTATTATGCCCCATGCACCTGTACAAATTGAACATGTTGTAATATTACAATTCCTCCATTTTGGCACAGGACAAATAGGTAGTGAGGCAGAGGTTACATGACAGTGAGTATGTCGTCCCTAGAATAGTTACAGATAATGTGTTGAAGGTGCTCAGCTGTCTGCCCGTCCATGGCGGCGATGGAATAAAAGCTGGAAATATAATGGACCTCAGCCTCCAAGAAGCCTCTGACTTGTTGCTGCATTATAGTAAGAGTCTCCCTAGTTCGCACTGCATTGCTACAGCCCAAACAGGCCAGCTAAGAAACCAAATTTATTTTCGGAAAACTAATAGCAAGTGTATGCCAATGCCAGCTACTATTTCCACTCCTATGAATAGATAGTCATCCGGCACTCCAAAACAATGTTTTATCATGTTAAGTACTCCACAAGAAATTGCCATTGCCCTTAATTAGTAGTATAATATACTTTACCTAGATAAAATAAGCTGAGGAATCCAACCCAACTGTTGGAGTTTGAGAGAGACTTTGACAGCATCGGCTTGTCCTCTTTCACTCAGGGGGCGATCATGATCTATAAATTAATCATTTTCATATAATAATTCAATAAATAAATAGAATAATTTCTCTCTAGGTAATATGTAGTGAAAAAAAAAAGAAAAATATTAGAGAAACCTAACCTACCTTTTAGCGAAGGGTCTACCCAGGAACTGTTGGCGTGACGAAGCAGAATTAGGCGACGAGCAACGGATGGAGGAGGAGTTTGTTCAGAATCAGAAACAGCTTTGCTCTCCACTTCCACGACCAAAGGTGAAGATGAAGGCCTAGTACCACTGCTAGCGTTTCTGCGACGGATTGAACTTGAAGAGGCTCTGGGCCACTTGGGATTCGCAGCCGGTGGGAAAGAGAAACTATGCTGCTGAATATTCAAATTAATGCTATGGTTAAAGAGAGTTACCGCATTCATACTGCCAGATTCTCGACTATTAGTATTCAGTGAGAGTTGAGTCTTGAGAGCAAGCTGAGGACTGGGGAGGGACGGAGCTGACTGAAATGCTAAACGCCACTCTCTCCCTCCAGTGGCTACTCACTCTTGGTTTCGGAGTCCGGAGGGTCACTTGTGTTTCCACGTGGCGCGTGTAGCTTATACTTTTATTTATTTTATTTTATTATTTTTTAATTTTTAAGTTCCACAAGTGACTGTTGTGTTTTTTACCTTTTTGGACAAACAAAGTAAATTTCATTTAAAGAAAAAACTAATACAAGATAAGGATAACTTCAAAAGAGAGTCTAAAATAGCCAAGCAAAAGCCCAACTCCATAAACCCAAACTGTAATGAGGAGGGCCCAAAGTGAGCAGCCCATAGCAGCAACCAAATTGAAAAACCTAGACAGCCATCTCAACCAAAACAGTCATACCACCACCGCAGATCCATCACCACCACCCGGAAGAAAGGCTAAAAAACCAAATGGATGAAAGGAAAATGGGGCTAGGCAAGCTACCCGCGCTGGGAGCGCTCCCATAACCCTACCAAATAGTGCAAAATGCACTTTTAAAGGGTAGTTGGTAGAAGATTCATGGTGAGGAGCGATGTTTGGAGAGGAATAAGGCAAATAAAATAGATATGAGATAAACTTATAGAAAATTGAGACCAAGCTCAGAGCAACCTGAGACACAAAATGCTCAAACAGAAAACAAACGAAAGCTAAATGCAAATACATATAAACTAAATCTCCAACCATGGTGGCTTGGAGAGGGAAAAACTGTGGTGGAGTTGGAGGAAAAAGGAGAGATGGGGAAATCAGGAGGAAAGAGAGGGAGAGAAGGGGAGAAAGTAAGGAAACAAGGGTGGAAAAAGGAGAAGAAGAAGGGCGAAAATCAGGGAGAGATGGGAGATAGTGATGAAATAAAGGGTGGACGAGAGAGGAAGAGAGAGGAGGGCGAGAAGGGAAGGGCTAGGCTGCCGCCGACCTCAAGCCAGAGCAAGAGGCCGACGACAAAGAAGGTTTCAGAGGTTTAGGCACTTTACTTTGGGGGAGGGAGATGGCATAGAGTCATAGACTCATAGGCACCCCCAATCAATAATTGTCAATTATATAATAACTTGAATATTATTGTCCTAAGAAGTGGAGTTGTTCTTAATAGTTCGGGACTCAATTGCAGTTGCGTAGCGACGGTTGTGTTTGAGTTTAAAAGATTTCACCACCACGGCCTTGGTAAGTTGGAAAGAGAGTTGTGGAAAGGAAAATAATTTTGTGGTTTATGTGTAAATAAACATATTTTTGCTCAACATTCTTAATTGATGGCCATCCTTAATATTTTATTTATTACCGTTCAATGAGTTTAAATTTCAAAATTTATTTATTTAATAGACACATCTCAAAATTTAAAATCATTGACTAATAATAAGTAGGATTGTGAGTATTAGTACAATTTGAGAACGGTGAGCAAAAACGTTCCCATAAGGGGAAATGTTAATCCCTCCAACCTCTTGGTGTTCACTTTCCTTCCCCAGTAAACAAAATAAAAACATGAATTGATATGTTTTATCTACTTTCCCAAGAAAAGACATGGCAAATCATTTCTCATGAATTCTTTACTGGGTACTAAGCGCGTGATAAGGGTTTAGGGTTTACGGCCACCACTACCTGAGTTGGATTCGCCTCAACCCTGCCTTCAAAACCTTGGAATATGATCGTTCATCGAACGTCAGACGGCATCACGGCGTGGGTGCGCCTTTCACGGCCTTCGAGGGCTTTCCAACAATTTTGGTCATTTTCTGTCCACTTTTGGACTTCGTACAAGTGTAAACTTTCATCCTCGTGTTGATATCTTTCTACATGTAAAATTTGGTGAAGTTTGGTTAATGACGGAAATTTGATTCTAGATCACTACGCGCAGTGGCACGTGGGCAACTCTGGTGATATGAATTTTGGACAAGAGATGTTATCGATGCTCTGAGCCCATATCCAAGGTCCTTTTTAGAGATTTGATGCGATAGTTCAACTATTCAATTTTTGAATTAACTGTACTGCTGCTCGATTTTCGCAATTAACGACAATTCAATTGTTGGATCTTCGTGCTATTTAATGAGCATGCTATTTAGTGATTTTATGACCCTTGAGAACTTTGGAAATGAAATCCGACATTCGAATCTTTTGGATTGAAGAATTTAGTGTTGTTGATCTTAGTGGGCCGACCCCACTTAGTGAGAAAAGACTTTGTTGTTGTTGTTGATCTTAGTGGAACCAATTTGATGACGGTTGACATTTTAATCAACGTGTCCATAATTATTCTGGTGTCTCGTTTATATATAGGATTCTAAGTTAAGACTTGTGTGTTTTCTTCTGCGTCATGCCTTAGTGCTTCGATCATCGAGCTAGGATTGCTAGTAGGTTGGACTTTAGGTGAATTGACTTTAATATTATGTGATAAGTATTTTGCTTATGAAAATTCCCTTGTTATATACTTTGTCTGCATAACATGAATTTACAAATGTGTTGTTATCTAGTCATTGATTTTTTTTGTAAAATGATATATTTATGTATGTTTGAAATGTTTGCGAACTAAGAGGGTTAGCAGAGGATCGTTGCCTTGGTATACTTTTTTTTTTCTTCTTGTTTCACGTGTGGATTTGATATCCTTGGAGTACTTCCCTTCTTTCTTATTCCATGAGAGGTTCTGGAATCTTGTGAACAATTTCTGTAAGTTCCATGAATGGTTCATGAACGCTCCTTTTGTACGGTTACATGAGAGGTTCTGGAATCCTACATTTAGTTAGATTTCATGAGAGGTTCTAGAATCCTACTCCGATTCCTTGAGAGGTTTAGGAACTCTGTGCATAGTTTCTATCCCGTTTCATGAGAGGTTTTGAAACCTTTCTTTGTGTATATTTGCTATCTGGTTCTATGAAAGGTCCTCAAACGCGGAACTTTATGACGTCACTGTAGCCCTATTTATTTTATTATATATATAAAAGAAAAACCGGTTGAATGCATGTGTAGAGCCAATCGAGATTTGTGAGTGAGAATTATTCTATATATGCAAAGGATTGTGAAATGTTTAAAATGAGATCGATTGACTGACCTTTTAAATTACATATTGTATCTCACACGACCTTTGCAGCTTATCTGAGTTTTTGTTTTGCTCAGTGCATCATTCTCACGATAGGGAGATCATGGAACCCCAAGCCCAACCCCCCACATTCAAAAGAACACGACAGTAGGACCAAAAACGAAGAAAGAAAAATACTAGCTAGCTAGCTAACACAAATGACGTATCAAAACGACATCAACATTTCTTCGAGAATTCCTGTGCAAATGACATTGCTACCTCTTCAGAGAAGAAATAATTTTCAAGAACAGCAACATTTCGATTGGATTATCTGGCTTCTTAAGCTCCACTCTTCCACCTTAAAGCAGATGACAACATTGCGTTTTCAGTTAAAAGTTCACTGCATAGACACAAGCAGAATTGAGGTATGGCATACCTGCGTTGTATAGGTCTTAGACAGCAGATTTCCGCATTCTTCAATGAGAGCTCTTTCTCCACCAATCACTCTGGCTAGTTCCGAAATCAAATGTTCTGTATCTTCTGCCTGATCATCAGAAAAGCTTTCGTCATTAAAAGAAAAATATAAAAATAAAAATGCTAGACGCAGTAAGCCTTTATTACTCACCCACATACACTTTATTATGCACCTTGTAAACCTCGTTCTCCTTTTATCTAATTAATTAGCTTTGAAACAACTCACTCAATTTTTTATTTCCAGTCAATCTACTCTTAAGCACATACACTAATTTTCTTTCAAGTACCCAACCCAGCAAGGAAAACCTTTGTGAAATTGTTTACCCTCCCATTTTACCCATTTGTATCACAAGGTTCATGAAATTTTACCACTACACTGAAATTTTTTCTTGTCAGCTGTGCCATCACTTCAAATACAAAGTAAAATACAATACTATCCAGTTGTTGATGAGAAAGCAAAAGGTCTCGAATTTTCTTTACCTTTGGCAAAGATCGGTGAACATGGAAAACTATTATGTCCATCACTTCTATTGCTGAGCTCAGTGCCTCTTCTAACTCTCGTAGATTGGCCTGCAGAGTATATCTCATGTCAGTGTTACCATAAGTGAAGCAATACCCTAATACCCTAACACAAGTTATTGATTATACCCTAACACTGCCACTGCTTGGAAGTTGAACTGAGGCATTCAACAATGCTTGAGTTGCTTCTGCCAGAGAAACTGAATAATCCCCTTCAAGAGAAAACCACTGGTCCAAATATGGAATCTACGATAATGTTCATAGAAGTATGTAAGTTACAAACACCATTCTCTGTAAATATATAAACATATATAAACACGAGTTAAAATGGAATCTAAGATGATGTCAATGATATCTTACTGTCAGAAGAAGATAAAAATGCACAACAAACAGTTTGGTGCTCTTAGGTTTCTATGTAACTGCAGTCTTACTCTCAGACGATCACATTACACATAGTATTGGAAAATAAAATTGCGATCTGTCTGACTGTCACAACCGATAGCAATATCTCATTACTTGTAGGTTTTATTTATTCCACAGCTAAAATTTTCAGAATAACTGAACCCGAAAACATAGCTTGAAAAAGGGTCTAATTGTAGAAATCATATGTTCCATTGTGAAGAAAAGCATTATAGAAGAAGCCCAATTCTTCATGGATAATTTACTCTCATCATGAAAGATTTGGTCTTTACTATATTCTCGATCGCACCTTGAAGGGAGGTTACAAGGCAGACTGATTTAGGTTCAACAAGCAATATAAAACTAACAAATTGGTAATCAAGGATAGGCAATACAACATACTGAATGAGATCATCAAGCTAGAAGTCTAAAGCAATCAACAAACGCTGGCAAGTGGCAGCCTTACTTGAGCTTCAAGAATTGTGGATAAAGTCTTTGTTCTTTGCAAAATGCCAAGTTCTATCCGTTTCCTCTTCACAGAATCATACAGTTCAGCAATCTTTACCGCGAGAGAATAAAGTGTTCTCTACAAGGAAGTGGAGAAAAACATTTAATTTCACAAGATAAATAACAACTTATATTGAATGGTTCCACTGTTAATTGCACTGAGACATTTTGTGACATGTGGTTAAGTTGAGACAATACCGGTGTTCTAAATAGTATACTATTGGCTCGACTCTGAAATTTTAACTGCAGTGAAATAGACTAACCTGGGTCTCTCTCTGCTGAGCTCGCACGGAAGCCTCTGCTCTTGCATTGGCATATCTCCACTGCAGATAGCGGTTGTGGAGCACTCTCAAGGAATGTACATCTTCTAGATGACTGGAAACTTTCTTTCCTTTCCTTATATCTGGGCCCAGCTTTGCAGTAGCACATGGTGGGACTGGGGGAAGGCATAGGCCACCCACCTTCCCTCTTTCACTGCCTTTGTCTGTCAGGAAGAATAAGCGGTCGGAACTTGATAATGACAAATTCAGAGAACGGGAGCAAGGGGAAGCAGAATACTTTGAAAAATCGCCACTGGCAACGACAGTAGCATTACCCCTACTGCTACTTTTCTCAGAGAGCTGCCTGCTAGAAACGGTTGGCAACAAATCGGCCTCAGGCATGGAAGAACGAATGTCAGGAAGACACCGTACGGTACAGCTTGGCGTTTGACTATGATTATTGACATCCGTGCAAGTGGTGTCACTCTCGGTAACTGGAGTGGCAGGCGGAGCGGGTAAAGACATCCCGCTGGCCTGCAAGAGCTTAGCAGCAGCTGTGGCAGTTATGTTGGTAGACCGCTGCTGAGTGAGTTTGACTCTCGACATCCTATCTAGACTAGCACTCGCCACTGGTGTGTCAGGTCTTGAGGGTGCGGTTTTTGGCAGATGCTGCTTCTGCTGCTGCTGGGTTTTGCCTCCTCCTCCTCCTCCGTTCTCTTTCAAAGGCTTGGCAGGACGCTGTTTCCTAAAATTAAGCATCTGGTCCGGTGGGAGAGGGGTTCCCCAGATCTGACTCTGAGTGTGAATGGAGGAGGATCCGGTGGGCCTGTTCTCGTCGGAGGAGCGCAAGGGCTCCAAGTCCAAGTGCCTCTGCCGCCTATTCACAGACGAAGACCGCTGCCTCGACTGAATTTCCGCCAGGGTCGAGGATGGAGTTAAGATGGTGTGTTGATGTTTAGGAAGTGGCGATTTGGAAGGCAAGGGATGAGGGAGATCGCCGGTGAAAGCCGCAGGAGACATGAACCTAGAGCTCACCTCCCTCACTCTTGGCCGCCTTTGAGCAGTCGGTGGTGGAGGAGGAGGAGGATGGGGAGGAGCGCAAACTTCTGCGTCCTCTACGGTCAATTGATCCATGTTCCTCAGTAAATGCAGAAATCAATCGACGAAAGCACGTACAAGCGAATCTGAGAAGAAATTTGTGAATGTTAAAATTCACCTGGAGTCCCAATTTTCGAATTGAGGTTAAGCCCTTACCTTGTCCCGACCCCCGATTCCTTTTAATGAGCGCTTTTACAATATTTTGCTGACCCAGAAGCCTTCAAGTGAAAGAGATAACTAGCCGTTGGGGGTCAAGTCGTAACGGTTCAATTTTCAAAAGGCATTTTAAGGGAAGGGATCATTTAAAAAAACAAAATGAAGACACCACATAATCTCAACCATATGATTTCATTAAAGGCAAATATAACGGTCAAGATGATATTTTCATTTTTTCTGAAAATTGGGAATCTCTTCCCTTAAAGGCTTTCTCTATATATATAATGATTGTGGTATACGAGGAGTCTTATTTTTTTCTATCTAAGATTATTTAAGTGTTTTAATTAATAAAAAGATTGAAATTAAATGATGTAGCTTGTCTAACTTATTTACCATCTAATATGGTAAAGAAATGTGGTGTAAAATTGTGATATAAATAACATTACTCTCTCTCTCTCTCTCTCTCTCTCTCTCTCTCTCTCTCTCTCTCTCTCTATATATATATATATATATATAGGCTTTTTAAGGAAAGAGATCCCCATTTTTCAAAAAAAATGAGAACACCCTCTTGACCGTTAGATCTGACTTTAATGAAATTCTTTGGTTGAGATTAAATCATAGGCTGTAGAATCTCAACCACAAAATTTCATTAAAACTAGATCTAACAGTCAAGAGAGTCCCCATTTTTCTTAAAAAATGGATCCCTTCTCTTGAAGGCTTTATATATATATATATATATATATATATATATATATATATATATATATATATATAGCCTAACTTAAGACATTTTATTTACACCTAAATAAATTACAACTTCCGTGCCATGCTACCTGTCCCACCAATTGCCGTGCAAGGCCTGAAAGCGAATTCTTCCATTCCTCAACCGCTCCTCTATTTTAGGAGGCGGATTGTCTGCCCTCAACAATGACGTAGCTTAACCGTGACCGTACAACACAAGATCCCCTCCCCTCCTGTGTTGTGCGATCACGGTTAAGCCACGTCAACACATGAATGGAGGGGATGGGAAGGGTATGGTAAAAGGAGGCAGAGTGATCGCACAAATAGGATGGGATGCAAAGAGTATGATATTGGGAGGGCAGACAACCTGCCTCCTCTATTTTATCCTCGTATAGTAAATGATATGATTTTTTAGTAATTTAATTACTAATGATTTGTTTGAAATAATCTCAATGATGACATAAAAAATGAACAGCTTGAATCATGATATTACAAAATGGAAAAGGCTATCACACATTTTCAAGTTCCATGGAGAAGAAACTAAGAATTATACAAAGCAAAATTAAGTACGGATGGTTCAACTTCAATCCGGTATTTACTTCTATCAATACATCGGGTGTAAGAGATCAATAAGTACAGAAAATGGATACTAATATTAGTGCATTTGTGACTTTCACATCCATGAAGCCATTTTCATGGCGCAAGCCTATATACAAAACTGACTTCATCTTCTACCTTATTTATTTCGGAAAACTGAATCATCGAGACTGTTGGCCAAGGCCATGGAAACCCCTTCTTGTAGAGCTAGGCATTGGCTCATCTGTCAAGCAAATAAAAACAAAAAAAGGAAAACAAATTAAGATGGTGAAATTAAATACTTGCTCGATTCATAAATTGGAAAAGGGGAAAAGAATGGCAATCATGGATTATGTGATTTACAGTAGACTGATGAAAGTAAGCGGGGATTCATGCCATTTCTATCTTACCAAGCTCATCCTCTTCATCACCATTCTGGCTTGTAAAGAATGGCGTGAGGTAGTTTCGATCTAACGCTGTGAATGACGCTGTGCTGCAGGTGAGAAGGTGGAGGGCAGAACTAGATGCTTAGCAAATAGATAAAAAAAAAAAAATGAAAGCCAGGTTCCTCTACGAAGGTAGCAAACAAATGGTTACCTCTGATGGAATTCCTTCAGTTTCATCTTGATCCTGTTTCCTGATGATCCTTCGTCATCAAAAGATGGTGCAATATAGCCATTGTTCCCTTCAAAATTCTGGGAAATATATGTACACATATCCAAAATAGTCAGCTTTGATAAGTAGTAAAATTACAGTGATCATGAAAGTAGAAATGTTATCACAATTCAACATGTGGCCCATCAATCTGAATAGGATTAAGCAGGACTCATTAAATGTTTGCAATAGATAAGTGTGTAGAACACAGGAGGGAAACATATTTGAAAGGAGATCTGCCTGTAACTTCAGAACATGTCCAAAAATGCTGGTTTAGCTTCATTTTACTTATAAATTTCTGTGTGAGGTTGTCCAAATCAGTCCAATTTTCACCAGAAATCAATGACCATGTATATGAAACACTATTTCAGTGTCCCACTCTCACCAAAACCCCATCAACAGACCTACCCTGTGGTTATTCCCAAAGGAGTTTCTGAAGCATAGATATGAATCCACGGGCAGAGACAATGAGATTCTCTTCCAATTCAAAGCTTTCCCTCTAGGTCAGGAAGGGGACACACCGTCTATTGAAAATTCTGTCAGCCATTAGCTAAACAGAGAACCAACTTCAATAAACCTCAGACTATGATTTTCTCACTGAAACCATGTTAGTATGTTACCATATATGCAAGGCACTAGATAGCTTCGGCTGAGAGTTGTGGTCTGTGGTTGTGGGTCATGTAACAGAGTCCTATTCTGTCAGCATGGTGTCTACTATGCCCTGTGACAGAGACAGACACAGCAGGAAAGCACAGGACCTAAAAACCTTGGCACTTATGTGAGCTTAGAGATAACAAGTAACCACTTCTTTGGGGATCAAAAGATTGTCCCTACGTAAATAGTAGCCTTGGATGATCAGAATGACCCACATCAGTTCCTATCCTGTGGGGCTAACGTTACATTAGTATAACTAACGTCCAGAAACTTAGGGATTGTGAATCAAATGTCTACATAGATGTTTGTTCCTTTTTTGGATTAAATAAAGTAGATCCAAGTGGAAAATTTGGCTATCACAAACATGCATAGAACTCTTTTGTTAGAGTTCCTAAAATTCAAAGAACAAGTAATTAAGCAGAACATATTTCCGTTTTATTTTCTAGATCTAGAACTTACTTCACCCAAAGTTCCCTCAATGCCATCACCTACAACTTGTAAAGCTTCCAGCATGGTGCCGGTTGAACCTCCAATTAATAACACCTAAAAAATTGGTCCAATTACAACTCAGTCACAAGAACAGTATCATATGCATCTCAATAAACAAGTATACTTGAATAATATATATTTGTTACAAACATCAAATAGGTAATTATTGTTCCTGATGCGCAAGGTGTCAAATTACCAAGTTTCTCTAAGTGCATGTCCAAGACAACAAATGAAGCCACAATTAAAGATTAAGTATATAGTGCTGCTAGCATTGCCATTAAACACTTTTTCTTCAATCACATGACTTTCAAATTGGTTCATAAGGCAGGGCTTCATAACAAATTTCAGTTAGTCTAAATAAAATTGTCTATTCCGGACAAGTTAAGTAATTTTTTGGCATAAGCAAAGGTATAGAGCAGAATAATTTTTGAGGGAAATTTCAATCTAGTTTCCTACTTAATTTGTTAGTTTCCTGTTCTTGTTATTGTCCAGTTTGAAGGACTAGGATTACTTTCCTCTTTATAAATATGCTTTGAAATTCAATAGAGCAGATTTGAATGATGTAACGAAATTATCTCTCCTTGAATTATCTTTTGTCACTGTTTTCTATACTCTGATCTCCCCTTCTGTTCTAGATTTCTCTTTGGTCAGTCTATTCCTTCTGTCTTCTGTCTCTGAATCCTATATTTCTCTTCCCTTGAATCCTAGTCCCTGTGCTCTTCTAAAATCCCTTTCTAATTTCTGAATATGTTACTTGTTCTACATTTACGCTTGTTCCAAACAAAACTTTTGCTCCCTTCTGAATCGGAGCCATTTCAAAGAAACAACTTTCAGTGGAGGTGCAAGACAAGAGCAAGGATATAGTGAACTAGAAAAGATCACATAGTATTGTTACCAGCTTTTTAATTGCACAAAATACTTCTTGGTATCATTAGAAAAGTTCAAGGACGTGGGATGCAATATATTGACAAAGTGCTGAATTCAGATTCTATTTATGACTAGTATTTTAACAAGATGATGTATTAGTTTAGTCTACAAATATCTCTTAGGGAAACCATGTCCTCAATATTCACCATACATTGGGAAGAAGATTCTGAATTGATGACAAAGATCAGTTTGTGTACCGTCAGAACCACTATGGCAGTGGTTGCAGTGAATATAGTCTGGCCATGTCCGTCTGGGAGATCATGAACTGATTGCAGAGCCAGGGCAAAAGCCATGGCCCCTCGAAGTCCTACTCAATCCCATAATTCATTATGAATATCATTAGTCAATAAATTCAGAAAGATCAGCAAGTTTCTGCTCTTCTTACCACTATACCAAAGTGCTTTCTGGTGTTTTAAAGGTATCTGTCTGTGTGCAGGTCGAACCAAATTGACCAAATATGCACAAGAAAAAACATTAGCTGCCCTGCACAAAATCATTCGGCAAACTGATTAAGAATTTCATACCAAAATACAGTGATTTATACAAAACGGACAAGGAAAATGAAATAACAAACGTCTAGAAATTGAAAGACTACTAAAGTAAGATTGTGACCAAAGTCTCATCACAGCAAACATACAGGAAGCATACCTTGCAACTACAATAAATATCTGAGGCAATCACGCACCAAGTTAAGGAAAAAGAGGAAGTTTCAGTTGCTACAGTATAATAACTTTTCACATTAGACTACTAATTCAAAGGATACAATTGAGAAAAAAATGAACCCCACATGTGACCAGCTATGTTGTTCCATGGCAATATCAAAGCCCATGTATATAAACCTGAAAATTAAGGTTTTCATTTCAAAACAAGCGTGGTGTCACGTGTAAATAACAGCTTAAATACTTGATATGTGATAAAGACTATGAAAAGCTCACTTACACAAACGTCTCCGCTAGTGATGATATCAAATGGAAAAAGGAAGAAACAAATCTTTGAGAGTTTTCTGATAAATTTGAATACGTATAATGCTTCATGACCTAAAACAGAACACCAGTTTGTCCATGGCACAGCTTTACCGTAGAATATATTAAAAAGAAAAAATGTACAGTTCTTCCACTTACCATTCCTGTGAACAATATTGACACAATACCAGACAGACCAAGACCTTCTGCAAGCATGTAACTAAACAGATGATGGTTCTACGTCAATTTGCATATAAGGAGAAAGCCTTAACACTAATTTACATAAGATGAAAAACGGCCAAGAAGATCACTCACGAGAAATATGGAAAGAGGACAAACAGACAGCACTCCAAGTTTTGAAGACTGAAAGGATAACAAGACAACCTCGTTATTTCCACCGTAGTACTAACTAAACAAAGGCCGGCAAAGAATGGAAGAAAAGTATCACTCACTTGTCAATATCCAACCCTGCATACTTAAAAAGGTTTTCACAATTAAGGTTTCACAATACAATCTACCAAGAGAAGCCATTTTTATTTTATGGAACCAACAAAGGCTTTTCAAAACATAATGGAAAATTATTACTAGATAAAAAAGGATATTAAAGCAGATGTAAACCCAACTCCAACACCTGTAAAGCAACACACAAAGTATGTTAGTAGCTGAGAAAACAAAATGTAGCAGTAATTAAACATCTAAATAAATAAAGCATGTGCTGCTGTTGTAATTTCTGAGGGCAAAGAAAAAAAGGAGATTCATCTTGAGTCAAGTTATTCTCGTAAGGGCATCTCAACTTATTCACCTGAAAAGCTCATCGTTTAGGTTTATGTTTTAACCTTGCGAGTGTACATACTATGTAGCCGATGAATCAGTAGTCATGACTATGATTTAAGTAATGTGCTTCTAAAGACGGGTAAAGATGGCTAAAATCTGTGGGAATGGATGATTTTTAACATGTCATGTGCATTTTGAAATCCCTGCAGGCGATTGTTGGAAGGTTTAGTGTGTTTACTCGTTTTGTTTCGTTTATCTTTGTTCGTTTTTTATTTGCGAAAAGTCCAAGCAAGAGATCTTTGTTCCAAAAAGACTTAATGTGTGTGTGTAGAATAACCTTATATGGAAAATTATTAATCTTCAAAAGTGATGGGCGTGCTTATGTGTATCAAGTGTGTGTAGTGAGGTGCACGGTATGAACAGTGTTCTTAACTTTGTTTATGATAGTTTTTTTCAAAGCTTCAAGTCTCACGAAGCTATAGGTTCCTAGGTAGCAAGGGACTGAACTAAGATTGCACTAATACATGAAAGGATTATCGGCAACAAGCATTTTCTCGACTACGATTGGAAATTGAAAAACTTACTGAAACTGAGCATAGTTGTCAATTGGGACCATGGTTCATCATTCGCACATTGAGACCTTAAAACGAGAGGATATATTTAGTGCTACATTATTGAAAATTGAAAAGTAAATTAGAAGATTGACTGTCTCTAATAATCTTTGTAATATTATTAAGAAAATTTCGCATGTTCTTGATAGTGTAGGACAAAAGCGTCAAAAGCGAAAAGCATCTAATTAAGAAGAATCCAACCCAGCGTGAGCTCCTTCCCCTAGGGTCCCATGGGCAATCCGGCCGGAGATATTGCATCGCCAATTTTATCTGGTGTTCCTATCGCCATTAGCTGCTGTCCTGCTGCTGCTCTGCTGAATGATTAATGACTATTACGCAACCAGGGAGAGGACTCATGACTTTCCAACTTCCGTTAAACTTGAGACGAACAATACCCCCCCCTCAATGATATCAGTAAAACTAAAATTTGGGCCCAACCTGTGCAAAAACTAAAATAAAATTTGGGCCCAACCAAAAATATAATGAGACTCGCTCATTGGGACCTTTTGGATTTAGAATTTGCGTCATTCGTTTTTGTGCCTACCCACTACCTTTGAGCAGCTCTCCCTTTTATTTGTTGTGAAGGTCTGTCAAGTAAACATGAACACGTCAGCTCTTAGCTTTTCTTTAACGTTTGTTTGTTTTTTTTTTTTTTCAATCATTTCGAAGGAACAAAAATTACTATTTGGTTCGACTCTATTCGGTTTTTTTTTTCTTTTTGTTTGGTTCCATTTTTTTAATTATAAAACCAATTTCTTTTCGATATATTCCAATATTATATGCCATGCCATTGTTGAAAATTTATAACTCAGTATACTGGAGCAATGAAACACTAAAAAATAAGAGAAAAAATTGAGTGTTATGAGCAATAGACTGAAAGTCCCACCCCCCCCCACCTCTATGTCCTTCTGGGCAAAACACAAATCTGAATAGTAATATCAGACGAAACGTAAAAGGCACCAGAGAAACCTTATCTTGTTTGGCCAATCCAACATCTTATAGAGTGAGCAACCGAACTAGTCTCCACATGCGGTAACTGGGACAGCAGTAAGAAACAGAAATTTGTCGTTTGATATCCTTTTGCTATATGGGAGGCTTTTGCAATTCAGCCTTGCCAATTATTTTATTAAACTACTAAGCATAAAATAATAGCGGTTTATGCAGAAATGGTAAATATAGTCAGAGAAATCAAGAATCGCATATATTCAGAATGAAATATATCGTCTTATAACATGAAAAAACACTAAAAAATTGTTAAAAAGTAAATAAGTACAAATATGAAGATTAGAAAAAAGGAAATTCATCAGCATCTTACCGGCATCTAAATCATTAAAACAAAACTCTTACAAGCGCCTCAGTTTGCGTGCGCTCGTGCCCGTATTGATTTGTGTTATGACCCGTACCTAATTTTTGGATATTTTAATTCCTAAGTATACGAAATGACCAAAATGCCCCTAATTGGTGAATATTGACTTTCATTGACCATTGTGTCATTATACGTATGACTTATTCTCTTAGCATATTTTGTAGTATTGGTACAGACTTCGGAATTCGAATGAGAAAGTAGAAATTTTTTAAGTTGGAGGGCAATGTAGAAAATTTTAAAAGACTGCGCTTCATCCCTGCGTGCGAGCAGCGGGGCCTGCTGTCTACTTTCCTTCCTGTTTTCTCTCCAAAAGCTCAACTTCTTTATATAACTTCTCCATCTGAATATCGATTTAGACGAACCGTATACCAAGAATTATCTAGTCCTCACCAAGCCTAACACGTTTATCACCACACAAAGTAGATAAAACGAAGAAAAAGGCAATTCACTACACTACAGAACAAGAAGAGGGCTGATGCAATTTCTTCAACCAGCCAAACATCCGTCGGAAGCCACATACCAGGTACTTGTCTTCCATTTAATGCGCACAAAATACGGATAGACTTTGAGCTATTAATTATGCCTGAAAAACTTTTGTATTTTTCACAACCAAATTAGCTTTTGATTATTTGACCATTGTGTCATTATACGTATGACTTATTCTCTTAGCATATTCTTGTAGTATTGGTAACAGACTTCGGAATTCGAATGAGAAAGTTATGAATTTTTAAGTTGGAGGGCAATGTAGAAATTTTAAAGACTGCTGCTTCATCCCTGCGTGCTGAGCAGCAGGGGCTGCTGTCTACTTTCCTTCCTGTTTTCTCTCCAAAAGCTCAACTTCTTTATAACTTCTCCATCTGAATATCGATTTAGACGAACCGTATACCAAAATTTACTAGTCTCACCAAGCCTAACACGTTTATCACCACACAAAGTAGATAAAAAACGAAGAAAAAGCAATCACTACACTACAGAACAAGAGAGGCGATGCAATTTCTTCACCAGCCAAACACCGTCGGAAGCCACTACCAGGTACTTGTCTTCCATTTATGCGCACAAATACGGATAGACTTTGAGCTATTAATTATGCTGAAAACTTTTGTATTTTTCACACCAAATTAGCTTTTGATTATTTGAGTACTCATTTTTATGGCTCTACTAGCATATTATGTATGTTTATTTGCTTAAATTCTAAAGTATCTTATAAATTGTTTCCCTTTCACAAATTGGTATTGAGGGTTTTAATTTCCAATCCCAAGTTCAACGTCTTTATTGGTTAAATATGGACTTGTTAATTTATTGTGGATTGGGAGGGCTACCATATTATAATTATTATCCATATCATTTGCAAAATAAGAAATTGTGACTGACTGCTCTGCAAGATGCTTGTTCAATTCGCAATTTGGCATCCTTTTTCTGTTTCGAGTTTCGCATCTCGAGCAGGATTGGGTGGGTGCTGAATTAGATGGTTTGTTAAACATCTATTTCTATGTTTTTATGAGTGGCCACGAAAGTGCATTCATCTGTGAATAAAATGTAGTTTTGTGAGACCGTTAATCGTCGTGGGCGTGTTTTGTTATTTGCACAGCCAATGTGAAGTATAAGCAAAGACATAATTAATTTGAAATTGGTTGAGAAATGAGACATAGAAGGAATTGACAATGTTTTATTTTGAAGTAGTATTTCTATTACGTTGATGTGAAATGGAATTTCTTACTTATGTAAAATTTTTTATACAGACATATAGGCTTTGTTTGGTGGGCTAGATGAAATGAGCTATTTTTAATTAAATTGGACTTGTAGCTCAACCAATGTTTGGCAAAAAAAATTGTAATACGGACTGCATTGGTTATGAATCTGAAATAAGGGAAAATATGATGGGCTATGTAACCCAACCACACACATGAGTTATGTAACTCATCCCTGCTAATCCAATTCTATTCCTAAGGCCCAATCTCGTCCAGCCTACCAAACGGTTTAAGGTTAGGATTGGAAAATAGATGCAACCATAAGACTAAATCAAATTAAATAGTATATAATGTCTCCGGTTTTGGACGTGATATTATTATGATTAGGCCTAGGGTCATACTCTACCAGATTGACAAAGACAAGGTTCCTCAAGGGAGAGCTAGTTGGAGGTGACTGGATTTTAATTTAGAAAGGTTTTATTATCTAAAATTTATGCATGCCTTGATAAATAAGAATTTCAGTTATATTTTACGAATTATACCGATTTCATGATATTTCAGTTATCTAAACCTAGGGGTGGAATTTTTTGCCAAATTACCATACCAACCGAATTACCAACCGTATCATACCAAAGTTGTGCCAAAAAATTTGTACCATTGGTAATGGTATGGTATTTGTACGTACCATACAATTTCGGTACGGTATTCAAAGCCATTACCAGTGGTATACCGTACTGTACCACTACTATTATAATTATATCATTTGTTTATTCATTTATATATATATATATATATAATTAGGTATTATTATCATTATATATGCACTTTATATTTTTTTCCTAGTCATTTATCCATTCATCTCACCCTCTAACCTCTACTTTCCCAATAAAAAAACCTAAGCCTTTTTGTACTGCGACTCTTCATCCTTTCACTTATCTAGCCATTGGTTTCATCTCTGTTGCTCTTGTTTTGATGACTCTCTCTCTTCGCAGTCCATCTCATCTTCTCCTTCATCAAATTGGGATGTCTTTCTCTCTGGTTTCGTCTATCAAGTTAATTTTTGTACAATTTTAAAGAATGTAGAGATGAAATTTAGGAAGCTTTGTACTTTTTTTTAGGGATGTTGGGTTTTTTCAGCAATTCTTTCATCTATTTATTTCTTGTTTCTCAAATGAATCTTTATAAAATTCTCATAATTAAATAAAAATGTTTTAGAAAGCCGAAGAGAGTGGCCAAAACATGTTTGGGCCTTGAATTGGGTTGAAAAAAAA